GCAGGTTTCACCTCAAACGCATGGTAGTGGCAAACCAGGGCCTCATTTCTACCCAATGATGATATCACTAGGTCTAAAGTAAAGCATGTAGTTTCCCCTTGTATTGGTATTTATTTGGTAAGTATCCATTTACCTTGATAGTCAGTGCTAACATGGTCCTTCTATTGGTGTAAGTGGTGCTGGGTTCCATATATTGGTGGTCAGTAGTAATGGGCTGTATGTTCAGCATACACATGAATGGCAAGGGCATTCGGCAGGCTGTGCGCCCACTGTGCCCCACAATGTACTGCGCCCTGATATGCACTGCACCATCACAGCTCATGATGACATCACAAGGAGGTGGGGTGACCCTGCCCCCTTGTAACGGCATCACACTAAGAACTGTCATCCTGGCACAGCTGTCAGATGGTGGGAGTCAGCATCAAACGCACGTTTTATTTTTCCTTCTGAGTCGGCGGTGGCAGCGGGCATCATGATTGATGTTGGATCTACTTCGGGGAACTTTTTAAAATTTTTGTTTTTAATAAAGGACTTCTCAAAGACTGTCTCCTGTCATTTTTTCACTACACTTTTTTTGTGAATGGGCAGCAGTACCATGTACCCCATACTCATTCACATGGGGGACAAGATATGGGGCCCCCTTGGTAAAGGGGGCTTCCAGATTCTGATCAACCCCCCGCTCACAGACCCCCACAACCACTGGCCACGGTTGTGGGGAAAAGGTCCTTGTCCCCATCAACATGGGTACAAGGTGCTTTGGGGGGTAGCCCCCCTGCCCCAAAGCATCCTCCCATGTTGATGGCATGTGGCCTGTTATGGTTCAGAAGGATGGGGGCACTCGCTTGTCCTTCCCTCTTTCCTGACATGCTATGCTGCATGCTCGGATAAGGGTGTAGTATGGATTTTGGGGGAGATTCCCACACCATTTTTTTACATTTTGGCATGGGGGGTCCCCCATACCTGAAGGGCTTGGTATGGATGGGGAGAAACCCCACTCTTTTTTTTTTTTATTTTTTAATGCTGGCAATTCTTTTTACATTCAGCTTTCAGCAGGGAACCCTCATAATAACTTAAACAATAAAGAATGTTTTTAGTAACTGTGTGGTATCTGAATTGTCCCCCTCTATTCGGAGCTCTCAGTCGAACTTTCGTCATGTTCATATGTGCAACCGCGAACCAAACAGGGGGGTGTTTGGCCCATCACCAGTGGTTAGTTGTAAAGCATTGCATTATGTTGGGGATAAATGATGAAGTTCTCCTTGTGTTGGTATTTAGGGATAAGCTTCAGTTTGGGAAAATTAGTTTGATCCAATCCTAAGTATATATCAAACATCTAATAACAAGGCACTTCCTGATCTCTTTTCTTAGATATGCAGTAGATAGAAATAGACCACAGGATTTTTGCCAGAAAAAATGTTTCTTCCATCTTATAAATGCTACTTAGATAGTCATACCTAGCTAGTCCTATATTTACACTCATGTGTTGGGGAGAATAGGAATAGATAGGAACACATCACAGAGTGTTTGTAAGAATAAATTATTTCTGCCATCCTACACAGTGCTGCTGAAAAGTCCTATATTATATAGTCAGTGTGTTTAAGGGGAACTTGGAGTAGATAGGGAGAGATCACAGTGTTCCAAGGTGAGATACATTTTGTGTGTGTGTGTCAACAACAACTTCAGTTGCTTTTTTGAATGTTTTATTTTTAAAGTTTTTTTCAAAATTACATTGTTTTTGTAATTTCAGTTAGATTAAAATATAAAAAAGGTATCAGGGTTTAGTGTTTTAGGTTTTTTTTCTTTGTGTGAAGTTATACTTTATTTTAATATAATTTATTTGGGCCTCTGAACTCAGCAGTGTGAAATTTTTCCTGTAACAGGCAAATCTGCTCTTTGTTGATTGCATATTCGTTTTCTGCACCAAACCATTCATGCACTGTTAAGTGCATGAAAAGTGCCACATCCTCAGTCTTCCTTATTGCCATAGCAGGTTACAAAGTTAGGCAACTCCCTATATTCCTAATATCAGGCAAGCCTAAAGGGAAGGGCAGAGGTTCTACACATGCAGGTAGTAGAGGGAGAGTTGGTTATGTATTTGTAATTGAAAAAGCACCTAAATCATGAGATTCACTCTTTAAAGTGAGGAGTGGCCCTCGTGGACTTTTGAGTGTCAAGGCCGGACCACTTTCCAGAGTTACCAGCCCTGAAAAAAAATTACTTACTGTGCATCAAGTTTGTACAATATAGCTGGATTTTTTTCTGTGAAATAATTTTACTCTAGTGTTGATTTCTTGATTAAACACTTCCTTTTGGCTCCCTCTCAAGATCTGGCCTAGTAAAAGTGCTCAAAGGCATTAAAAAACCTTTCTACCTGCAACTTGTGTTTCACATGCATAAAATGTGCATGGATCATGTAGTTTCATGGTGTCATTTGTTGCTCTGTACACACATTGTTGCTGTCTATTTGTGAATAAATCTTCAAATTCCTGTTCAAACATGAGGCGTGCTGAATGCTAAATATTTACATTATCCACATCCCCCTTGAAGAAGGGCCACTGGGCCCATAGGTAATAGTTTGGCAGGATGAAAGAAATGAAAGGCTTTGACTAGAAAATCAGCAGGTACATGGGATGAAGTTCCCTAAGCAATGATGTATAGAAAGAATTGATTATCTGCAAATTGTATAGCTACTGTATGGATTCAGTAAACTGTTTTGGTGGCCTTTTCTATGAAATGATTATACTCTAATGTTGCTTTTTGTATTTTTTGTTTTTGTTTTTTTTTTTTACCAAAAGCTACCAGATATTTTTCTGTTTCAAAATGCATCTAATAAAAAGTGCTTAAATTGTGGGTATTTAGCTGGTAGGTTTTCAGTGAAACAATATACTTCGACATTGATTTTTGTTTACTTAAAGCTGCCCTGGTGCCTGTCTTTTTCAAAAGTGGGCCTAATAAAAATTATTTTACCATTTTATTTATTTTTTATTTAATTATTATTCCTACAAGTTGTCCCAATGTCTCTCTTTTTGAAAATGCAGCTTAGTGAAAGTACTTAAACAATAGGTATGAATTCAGTACAATATTTTGCAGGCTATATCTATGAAATAATAAACTCCTTTCCGTTTCAAAATCAGTGATTAAAATGGTTGCCAAGTTTTGCAGCTCTAGTTTTGCAGCCCTAGTTTTGCAGCCCTAGTTTTAGGCCTAGCTCACATTTCCATGTGTGCATTATTGCGTTCATTGGTATGCGTTGTAGCGCACATCAATGCCCTTTGCTCACAAATACTGTGCACACATTTCAATGCCTAACCCTTTCATTTCTAACAGGTTCCCAGTGTACATTGGCACAACTAAAAACACAGATGACTCTCAAGGCACCGCAGCACATTGGATACTTACACTTTATTGTGGTGTGTTGGGGAAAGAGGGTCATGTGCATATTTTGGTATGTGGATGATGTGGATTCATAGCAAATGGATGGGCACAGGCAGAAAAAAATGTGCTACATATATTTATTCATCAAAAAAACATGTTGCATGCACTGTTAATGTTTTGAAGACATTTCAGCCAAGCCAATTTTCAAAAAATGTGATTCATATCAATTCTATAAGTCACAGCTTTCAAAGATATGCAATTGAATAGGAATAATTTAAGGCAACTGCCTAACATAAGGCATTCTCCTCACTGGTAGAAAACTCTGAATTATTCTATTTTATCTTTACTAATATTGGGAGCACTCTGAAGATGTGACTTTTTATTTCTTAGAGGTTAAATGTATGACTGGAACATGTCCATATTTTACATTGCCATTTTATGAAATGAGTGCTGGAGGGCCAATAACATGAGAGATACGTAAAGGTAATGTTTCATCTCTTAGTGTGCACAGGAGAACACCTGAGCTCCCCGGTATTCTAAACCTTTCACTTGCCTCACTTATTACTGCTGGCCAGATCAAATTGCCTTCACAGACAGAATGTAGTTAACGGAAAAAGCCCCATGACATTTTTTAAGCTATGAGAGAGAATGTTACAAGAAAGATGATATACTGTGCAGAGATTTCATAAGCTCATTTCACAAAATCGTGATCTACAGTGGCTATGATGTATTCCTGTCCATTGTGCATGAAATAAAACCACAGTGTGATTGGAAGTGCTTCGTCATTGCCCCATTTATGTGATTTACTTTTTGCCTCTAGCCACAGATGCCAACTGATTTATTTCTCACAATTCTCATTGTCATTCTTATCTATTTCACTATCTGTGTTTTATATTCTTATAATTAGGGTGAAAAAGATACAACTGATACACCATGTATGATTGATCTGTTGGTTTTACAGGTAGATGTATAAACAGTATTGCTGTGGTATTTCTTGCTTAGCAATGCATTAAAGTGTATGTATGGTTAAAAATTGAAATTCTATGTATAGCAGTGCTTGCCCACATATGCACACTGTCCTGTTACTTCTTTGCCAGAACTCACTTTTTGTATTAAATAATGTCAGAAATGCAGGCTGTACTTAACCTCCCTGGCGGTATGATTATTTCAGATTTTTGGTGCTGAAAGCGGTACCATTATTTTGCATGGAAATAAGTAGTTTTTTTATTGTAGGCCTGTAATTTTTAGGAATAACTCACTGAAATCTGTCCGAACAAGAGTCTATTAAACATCCCGGGTATGATAAAATTTGAAAACACGAAATCATAAATTACAATTTAATAAATAATCATAAAAAAATAATAATATAATAATAATACATTTAATTCAATAATATAATCAAACCAAAAACACTGAAATTTGAAATATAGCGCCAAGTTCGCACATTGCTGAGCAAAGTCGCAAAATCGTTTTCAGTGTCTGATGATGAATTTCCCCATGAATCATTATCACTCAATTCTGCAAGTGGTTCTGATTTACTATCTCTGTTCTCTAGCTGGTCTAAAACCGCTTTTGGCCTAAAGGGACACTTTTTGGACGCCATGGACATTTCTCAGTTTCCAGGCAGAAAGAACAGACAAAACGCAGGCAGGGCACAGGACAAAGCACTAGGGACAATATGTATGTGAAATGGGTTGAAAACAGCAATGTTTTACTATGAAAAATGTGTTTTGAAAAAAATTACATTTTTTTATTTTTTCAAATTTCCCGCCGCCGCCGGCGCCCTTACGTCCTGACGTCACAGGGACCGGAACACAGAAGCTGGATGCCGGCATCGGTCGGAGGAGATGGCCGGGGACGCTGAAGGGGGGACACATCGTGGGAGCGAAGGACAAGGTAAGTGCTGCAGGGACCCCCTGAGCAACGCTGCATGGTAAGCCCGAGTGTAGCTCGGGGTTACCGCTCTTGGCACTGACATTTTACCCCGAGCTACACTCGGGAATACCGTTAGGGAGGTAATTTACTTTAATGGGCTGACAATTCTGCCACTGTTGCTTATAGTGATACTAAAGCTAAAAACATTTTTTACCTTAATGCATTTTTTTTACCTTAAAAACATTTTATATTTGTCTGTGCCCCCCTTCCCTGTGTGAAGGAGAAAAGAGGGCAGAATAGATCTAGCTCTGTGCATGGCTTTATCTCTTCTCCCCTGACTTCCTCCACACACAGCACTTGAGCAGCAGCACGGGCCATTGGCTCTTGCTGCTGTCAATCAAATGCAGTGAGGAGGAAGTGGGGGGTGGGGCAAGTCCCGCTGTGTAAGTCTATGGAGCACAGCTTCATAGACACACAGCTCAGAAGCGCGCAGACACTGTGTGCCCCAATAGCAAATGGCTTGCTATAGGGACGCACGAAGAAGAAAAGGAGCTAAGATCGCTGGTGGGAGCACCTGAGAAGAGGAGGCTTAAGGCCACTCTGTGCAATACCACTGCACAGAGCAGGCGAATATAACATTTTTGTTATTTTAATTACTTTTTTTGTACTTTAACACTTTAAACATAGTATAATCTACTAATTTCTCCAATATCAACTCTTGGGAACGGTATCTCTTTGACTGCCTAGTGTTGTGCCAACTGGCAGCTCCTTTAAGACAACCAGCAGAACATTGCTTCCTGGCCTTACTGCACACACTTAATCATGGACAGCTCAGGGAGGGAGGGGAAGAAGAAGAATTATAATTGACTGTTGCTTCAACCAAGGGTAAACACCTACCCCTATTGGCAAATGGGCTACAGAAAAACAATCATGGACTGTGGATGACTGGATGAAAGTGATATTCAGTGATGAATCACGAATCTGCATTGGGCAGGGTGTGCCGTTTGGTGCCGTTCCAAGGAAATGTATAAAGACAACTAACCTGAAGAAAACATGCAAATTTCCACAACCATTGACAATATGAGGTTGCATATCAGGTAAAAGTACAGGGGAGATGACCACTTGTCTTCCTGAGGATTTACCCCCCTTCCTGACCAGGCCTCTTTTTGCTGCTCGGCGCTGCACTAATTCAACTGATAATTGCGCGGTCATGCAATGCTGCACCCAAATGAAATTTCCTTTTTCACACAAGTAGAGCTTTCTTTTGGTGGTATTTGATCACCTGTGCGCTTTTTATTTTTCACGATATAAACAAAAAAGACCAAAAATTTTGAAGAAAAACAATATTTTTACTTTCAGCTATAAAAAATATATAGTAAACTCAAAGTTAGTTATAAATTTAGGCCAAAACGTATTCTGCTACATGTTTTTGGTAAAAAAAAATCCCAATAAGTGTAAATTGATTGCTTTGTGTGAAAGTTATAGTGTCTACAAACTCTGGTATAGATACTGCAATTTACGCCATTTTTTTGCTATATAGTGCAGCACTAGTTTAACGGACAATTGCGCGGTCATGCAATACGGTACATTAATTCAATTTATGTCCTTTTTTTCACACAAATAGAGCTTTCTTTTGGTGGTATTTGATCACCTGTGCACTTTTTATTTTTGGCACTATAAACAGAAAAACCTTTGAAGAAAAATAAATGTTTTTGAAAAAACAATATTTTCTTATTTTGGTCATAAAAAATATCCAAAAAAACTAAAAGTTTGTCATAAATTTAGGCCAAAATGTTTTCTGCTACATGTTTTTGGTTAAAAAAATCCCAGTAAGTGTATATTTATTGCTTTGTGTAAAAGTTATAGCGTCTGCAAACTATGCTGTAGATAATGGAATTTACACAGCTTTTGCTTTCTGACTGCCCATCACATTTCTTGAGGTGCTAAAATACCAGGATAGTACAAACACCCTCAAATGACCCCTTTTCAGAAAGTAGACACCCTAAGCTATCTGCTGAGAGGCATATTGAGTCCATGGAAAATTTATTTTTTTTCCACAAGTTTCTGGAATATGACAAAAACATTTTTTTTTACACAAAGTTGTCATTTAAATGAATTACACTGCAGTGGAATTACACTGCAAAATACATTGTTCTACCGTCTCACACATGTGGGATACCACATGTGTGAGACGTTTTGGGAGCCTAGCTACATTCAGGAGCCTGAAATCCAATGACCACTTTGAAAGCCTGAAGGTGCGTAACCTCCTCATTTCACTTCCTCACCACCTATCACAGTTTCGAAGGCCCTGACATGCCAGGATAGCCCCAACCCCCCCCCCCCCCCCCCAAATGACGCTTTTCTGAAAAGTAGTCACTCCAAGGAATTCAAAAAAGAGGCATGGTGAGTATTTTGCAGATCTCATTTTTTTCTCACAAGATCTGCAAAATACTTATCATGCTTCTTATCAAATTCCTTGGGGTGTCTACTTTCCAAAAATGGGTCATTTGGGGGGGGGGGGGGGGGTTAAGTGCTATCCTGGCATTTCAGGGCCTCCAAAACTGTGATAGGGAGTCTGGAAGTGTAATGAGGAAATAAAGCCCTTTAAAAGCCTAAAGGTGCTTATTGGATTTTGGGGTCCTGTATTTGGATAGACTGCCAAAACGTCTCTCACATGTGGTACCCCCATACTCGGGAGAAGTAGCAGAATGTATTTTGGGGAGTAATTCCACATATACCCATGGCATGTGTGAGCAGTAAATCATTTAAGTGACAATTTTGTGTAAAAAAAAATTTTTTTTGTCATTTTCCAAAAACTTGTGGTAAAAAAATAAATTCTTCTATTGATTCAACATGCCTCTCAGCAAATAGTTTGGGCTGTCTACTTTCCAAAAAGGGGTTGTTTTGGGGGGTGGGGCATTTTATGCCCGGCATTAGAAGTTTATGCCACACAGCATTCATTCTTCTAACTGCCTGAAGATCAAACCTTTTCTGACACTTTTTGTTCACATGAAACAAATCAGTATTTTTTGCTAGGAAATTAATTTAAACCCCCAAACATTATATTTTTTTAAAGCAGACACCCTAGTGAATAAAATTGTGGGTACTACAATTTGTTATGGCACATAGTACTCGCGCAGTGATTTTTCAAAAGCAAATTGTTTTAAAAATATACACTTTTTTTACTTTTAATGCACAAAAACACAATATATTGGCCAATTATTTGGTAAAATATAAAAGATAATGGTATGCTGAGTAAATAGATATCAAACATGACATGCTTTAAAATGTGCATGCCCCGTGCAATGGCGACAAACTGCATACATTTTTAATATCCATAGGCAACGTTTTAACAGCCTTTAAAAGCTACCATTTTAGATTTACAGAGAAGTTCTAGTGTTAGAATTACTTCCCTTGATCTGACGTTCACAGTGATACCTCACATGCATGGTGCAACTGCTGTTTACATACCGACACGGGGTCAACGCTTGTGCAAACAGGTGTGCGCGCATGGGAGGGGCGAGTTTTTTTTTAAGTTATTTTTTTTTTGTTATTATTTTTACACTGTACCTTTCATTTTTTTTATCACTTTTAATGCTATCACAGGGAATGCAAATATCCCCTATAACTTCAATGGGCATTGTCATATATTCTTTTTTGAGAAATCTGGGGTCTATCAGACTCTGGATATTTCCTTTGCCCTTACATTATCTAATCAAACCAAAATCAGTGTGATCAGATGCTTTCCCAATTTACAAATGGCGCTGTTTATATCCTGAAAAACTGAAGTGATGAAATGCTCATAGCATCCGAATTCTTAGACTATAGAGATGATTGGCACCACTCTGGTCTCCAATAAGCTCTATGGTCAGCTGACAGAAATACCGGCTGCATTCTCAGGTTCTCCCGATGGCACGGGACTGCCTGAGAAGGCCGTGGAAGCCAGTGGGGGAGGGGGGCATCATCTCCCACTGCTTGTAAAAGCACAATCCTGCAGCTAATAAGCCACTAGGATTTCTTTTACATGAAATCCGATCGCCGTCTGAAAAAACTTATACCAGGATGATGCCTGCAGCTGTAGCCATCATCCTGGTATAACCATTCAAAGTCCAGTGATGTACCAGTACGTCGCTGGTCCTTGTTGGGTATATATGCTATGTTCTTTGAAAAAAAGAGAAGGAATCTCTGCCAGAAAAAGTGTGTGGTATGCCCACCATTAGAATATACCGCCCTGCATCCACCCACTTCTAATGGTGGGCACACATTAGGTCACACTTTGCCACATGCACCAGTTCCCAGATTGCACAAATGTCTAAATAGTGGCACGCTTGAATATAAATTGTCCAAATATAATTGGTACCCCATATGGAAAAAGGATGACACCAAGTCCCAAACTATCTTGCCACTACTCCCCATGTAGTCTGGGCATCCGGGGGGCTCCACGTGACTATCTTTTCCCTCATAAAACCGAAACTTATATGTATAGCTTGTTGCCCTCTCACAGGTCTTCTACATCTTGACCCCATATCTGGCACTCTTGCTGAATTGTTTGAATGCAAGGCGGCCAGAAAAATAAATCAAGGACTCATCAACGCAAATGTTTTGCTGGGGAGTATAGACATCTGCAAATTTTAGGTTAAGGTGATTTGCGAGGGGCTGAATTTTGTGGAGCCGGTCAAATTCAGGGTTACCCCGAGGACGACAGAGTGTATTGTCGTTGAAATGCATAAAACACATTATACTCTCATATCTATGCTTGGCCATGGCAGCAGAGAACACGGGCATATGATGAATGGGGTCTGTGGACCAATACAACCGCAATTCATTTCTTTTAGTAATGCCCAAGTTGAGGATTAGGCTAAAAAAAAATGTAAATTCGAAAACCGTAATGATTTTCCATGCGACTGATCTGGCAAGGTTTGAATTTGGGTTGGCGGCAATAATTTGTTGTGCATATAAATTGCTTTGATCCACAATCAACGCATACAGATATTCCATGAAAAGCAGCTCAAAAAATCAAGGGGAGAAGTTAAGTTTGCTATTTCCACCTGAATTCCGGGTTGGGCAGTGAATGGGGAAGTACAGTTGCTGCAGAATTTGT